CGGGTTTATGATTTGATGCTCGCAAGCTATACACGTACTCGTACTTATTATGAGGATGCTCGTGGGACCAAACGGACATGCGATTCGGAGTCGTGAGACGTGGCCATTGCTTTGCGTAAGAACCGATGAGGGGGGCATAAATCGTCAAGACGGTTCCTTTGTTATTCGGTTGGTAACGATCGTCAAGAATTACCAATTGCTCGTCGCCGGAAGAGGAGAAAGCTTGCTTGAAACAAATCATCGCAAAACCTGTCAAAACAATTCAAAACAAAAGAGCAATTAGTTTGACAAAAAAAAGAGGAAGAAAAAAAAAGGGGGCAAGGAACTGGGCTAAAATTAAATACCGAAGCTCTTGAGTTGCAAAAACCTAAAGAAGCTAGAAAATTTCAAATTTGAAGAAAAGACCCAAAGAGCCAATCCCTATTTGAAATAAAGGGAGCAGTTTCTCATAGTCAAAATATCAAATACTTGGTGGACATGATCGAAGGGATGAACTATGCAAAGAATTAAAGGTAGCAAACTCACCGGAAATTCAGAGAAAGCGCTAGCAAAAAAAAAAAAAAAAAAGGGAAAAGAGTAAAAAAATATATAAATCAAGCTAGATGAAAAGAATGTTCGAAGTTCTTCACAGAAGAGAAAGAAAAGAACGATGGGCAGATGAATGAAACAATACGCACGGACACCTCTTTTTATAGGCATAGAAGAAGAGCAATTTAATTGGTGATCGGATTCCATTCGTCCAATCATAGAGAAGTCCAAAATCAACTAGAAGTTGGAATTGTGAGTTTATCCGTTGCAAGAATCCAATTGCAAAGGATAGTTGATTTCTAATCAAATACTTAATTCAATAGATCAAAGGATTCTCAGAAGTACGGGAACCTGCCAAGTCAAGAAATTCGTTCTCACAAAGGGACCCACCAATTTTTTCCTTTGGTTGAATTTAAGTGACAAATATATATATATATATATATATATATATATATATATATATATATAAAAAAAAATAATTCGTACTACATATCTGAACATATAATTCAACTTTGGAGTTTTGGGTTTGAATAAATTAGCGGGCCGGATATATTATGAAATAAATTGGTCCAAACTCTATCTAAAATAGCTTTGGGCCGTATTTATCGTCCACTCATTAAGTCCAATCGCAAATGAAGAAGATCCGATATATATTCGTGACTTATTCACTTCAAGACGCATCGTCCGTGAACAAGTCTCGCGGGGGCATTTGTAGATAAATAAATTTTATCCAAAAGAAAGGGACCATTGTGCAATTACGAAACAAGGAATTCTATTTAAATTCTATGGCCGATGGCAATTCCGTAATTAAATAATTAAGTTCAAATCAAATCAAGATTATATGCCGTATATTGGTATCTATATTTAAAATCAATTACATATTTTCTATTTTAAATCTAGGGATTTAATTAAATTAATTCCTAAATTAAATAGATAATTGATTTTAAATATATATTTACCAGTAGAATTATTTATTCTCTTCCAAATTATAAGGGATAAATATCAATTAATTATTGACCAATAGAATTGTTTCTTCTCTTCCAAGTTACAAGAGATAAGTATCAATTTAAATCGGGTCAATCAAATCGCGCCACATCATCAGTAAGGCCCATCAAGGACTCTTATTCTACCACTATAAATAGGGATCCTCCCTTCACAATTCAAACACAACTGAAGAAGCATAAACCGTAGGAGCAAAATTCTCTCTACAATTCAAGAAGCAAGGAAGAAGAATTCGTAGGAGGTAAGATTCTCTCTCTACATTCAAAGTGTTCTTCGTCATATTCGAGGTGTTCTTGAGCAAATTCAAGGCATTCTTCATCAAATCTAGCGTTCGATCCGAGATAACGGTGCCAAACCTTCGGATTAACGTTAATCAATTCAAGTCAAGATCACTGGAAGATTGAAGGGCCAAATCCATCAAGAATTTCAAGATCTTCAAGTCAAATCAAGTCAAAGTTCAACGTTCGATCCGAGATTCAAGTCGCAAGACCCTTGGAAAACGTTATTCAAATCCAAAATCAAATCCGGAGAAGATCAAGTCAACGACCCGACTCCGAAAATTCAAGTCAACTATATATTTTTCTAGAGAGAAGAATTTTTCTAGAGAGAAGAATCAGAGGATTAAAATAGAGATTGTAACCCGCAATTTATTTATTTTAATTCAATAAAATCATCTTTGTTCAATTTTTCTTGTTTGTTTATATCGCAGATAAGAATTTGTTGTTACACTTACGACCATTTGTAAGGAAATTCGAACTTAAGTCAATGCACACAAAACTTATTTGTATAATTGTTAGTTAAACGCATGTTCATTTAATATTAATATTTTCAATAATAGCCTATAAATAATATTTACATTAATTGTTCTTCTAGAATCTTAAAAAAAAAAAAAACATTATGTGAAAATAATAAACGTGTGAGCTAGCTAACTTCTTTCATTTCTTTTTATTGATGTCGATGCATATTTAATTTTTCTTTCATCATAAGTTAGTGATGATATTTGCCTTTCTTGTTAAATTTTTTATGTAATGATGTTGATCTTTATAGCACCGACCACGTGGCACGTGGTAAATATGACCGTCTAATTAGGTCGGAAACTATATAAAAACTTGTCCAAAACTAAAATTTAATCCACTTCAAGTTTTTATTTTGACTATATAGACAAAAATAATAAATTTGATCACTCACAACCGACTAGTTTGATACTATTAATAATGGAAAAACAATACAGTTAAACCTATATAAATTAATATAGTTGCCATTAGCAAAATTTCTATTACTTTAGCAAAACATTAAATTAAAGAACTAATAATTTAATACATTTTCATCGAGTCGGGACTAAGAGAAATTATTATTTAAATAAAGTTATCAGTTTGTTGGGTATTAACTTATCGAAATTCTACTGTATTATATTCTGTAGATTGTTTCAATTTTTTGTCTGTGTGTTTATGATTGAGATAAATTTCGTTTCCAAATTTGTACTTAACTTTTTAGACATGATAGATCATAATATATGGTGAATACACTCTTCTATTTTAAAAGTGTTTGCATGTACAATTTTTTTGCTTTTGTATACATTTTCAAAAGCGTTTACAAACATCGCTTTACTATAATTTTTTTTAGATTATAATTTCAGAAACTTCTATGCAACAATCTTTTAGGGCTTAAAGTTGCATTGGACAGTTGTGTCCTTGTTATCTATATCAACATCAAATTTTCAAGGATATATGTGATCTTTACCAAAATAATGAAAAAAATAAAGTTTGTTTTGCAAACACATCAATTTGTTTATTAAAAAATAATGCTTGAAATCGATTTGTAATAACATTTGCAAATATCCTAATTTTTAGAAATAAACAATTATTTCAATATTTTTACTTCCAATCAACAACCTTTTTTTACTTATTTCAAGAAAAATTGCGAACATCACATTAATTAAGCAAAATCATGTGTCAATTGATTCAAGTTCGAATTCCCCTGTCAACGGTCGTTAGGTCGAGATTGTCACATATGATCAGTCTAGTGTGGTTTACGTCTTTCGTATTAATTGCAAACTATTATACGAGAGTTTAGATTTACCCAGTATACATATATGATCGGCTGCAGGTTCATTCATTACTCAAAAAGAACTATATTAAATTACTTGCAACTACAATGAAGTATTGTTTCACTTAAAGAAACTAGGAAACCATTGAGGATATTAGTAAAGAAAAAAAGGAATATAATATTAAAAAAGAAAAAAAGGAAAAAAAGGAAAAAAAAAAAAAAAAAAGTGAATTCCTTATGTTTCTTTTCTCCTAAAGTGAAGATAAATATATGTTTGCTTTGGGAGTGAAATGTTTCATTCGTACCATAAGAATCACTTTAAAATGATAAAGTTGTAGTAGAACATAAGTTGGGCACCATTACAACTTTATTATTGTCCAATAAAATTTTCAATTTTTAACTATTTATATATCTATGTGCAATAGAATTGCGAAAATTATATTTAATTAATTAATTAATTATAAATAAGTTAATATTGTAATCGGCCATTATTGAAGTTTATGAACTCGATTCGAGTTGGGTAAGACATATCTACACTCTAGTCTTCGTGTAATAATTCGCAAATAATACAAACAAAAAAAATTGCATAGCAAATCTATGCGATAAGCTCTAGATTTATAAAATACCGACGTATATGTTATTAAATTCGAGTTGTTAGACGTCGTCACGCTCCGTGCAGACTGCAGACCATATTATAACTATTATTTAAGAATCAATCCTAACCTTAATTTCAATCTTGTTGTTCTATCCAAAATTTTAAATTCTATTATTGCGAAAACAATAAATAAACACACAAGATTAAAATAAATAAAGAAATTGCTGAAAAAACGTGTTTAGGTAAATAATTTTTGGGCAAATTCCACTTACTCCTTGTACTTTGGTTCGGTATCACTTTACCTCTTTCTACTCTCGATTTCATCAATTTGCCCCCTACACTTGAAAAATTGTCTCAATATGGCCTTCGTTCTTAGTTGTCACTTCAGACATTTGACCTTAACACCGTTTGGTCTAACCTCTGAAATTACAAAAACGTCATCCCTTCCCAGTTTAAATAATTATTATTAAAGAAATAAAAAATCAAGACAACGAGATAGCATAGTCCACAGCGGCAACCACAATTTATTTTTATTTTTTTATAATTATTTAAATTGGGAGGAATGTTTTTTTTTTTTAATTTTCAGACCAAACAGTGTTAATGTCAAAGTTATGAAAACTAACGGTGAGGCGGACACTGTGACAATTTTTTAAGTGCAAGGAGCCAAATTGATGCAATCGAGAGTAGAAGGGGGTAAAGTGATAACGAGGCAAAGTACAACTGGAGAAAAGTGAATTTACTCATAATTTTTTTATTGAAAATGAAACAATTAACTTTTAATTTCCTAGAAATTGCAAGAAACACCCCTTCAATTTTTCGTATTACTTTTAACAGCATTTTTAAGTGTTAGTTAAACAAACTTCTAAATAGCAATTTCTTTTTCTTTTTGCACTTTAGTATAAAAACATGTAAACTGAGACTTGTGATTCTGCTTTCGCAGCTGAAACTTAACATACATTCACGTGCACCACACGCGCTCCTCTCTCTCTCTCTAAAAACACCCCCACACACAAAATTCTCTCTCTAAATGACTGGCCGTTCACGCCACCTCGGCGGCGTAAACTCACCGCCGCCGAAGGACTCCACCCCGCCGACGGTCGAACCCGTCGACTCCGACTTCGTAGTAATCCTCGCCGCTCTCCTCTGCGCCCTCATATGCGTGCTCGGCCTCGTCACCGTCGCGCGCTGCGCCTGGATCCGCCGCCTCGCCGGCGGGAGCTCCGCGCCTCCGGCGGCGCCTCCACGAGCGGCGGCGGCGGCTGCCAACAAAGGCCTCAAGAAAAAAGTCCTGAATTCTCTGCCCAAGCTCACCTACGGCGAGGAAACTGAGCAGCAGGAAAACCTCTCCGACTGCGCCATTTGCCTGGCGGAGTTCGCCGCCGGAGAGGAAATCCGGTTGCTGCCGCAGTGCGGCCACGGATTCCACGTGTCGTGCATCGACACGTGGCTGAGATCCCATTCGTCGTGCCCCTCCTGCCGCAAGATTTTGGTGGTGGCGCGGTGCAAGAACTGCGGCAGCTTACCGGAAACCACCACTTCCTCCGCCGCCGCCGGCGGAGGTCGGAATGAGTTTAGTGGGACCCACGCGATTGGGTTTTTGCCTTAAATTTTAAAAATTGGTGCTTAATTTAAAGATTAGGGATTCCGGAATTGCTGCATAGTACTTACACAATTTTAATGTAAGGTATGGGCTTATTAAAAAAAAAAATAAAAAAATCATTTACATTTAATTAATCAAATTATCAAATTAATTCACTGCATTTTTTCCCCCTTTTTTTCTTTTCCTATACTCCATAATCCATATGGTATAGTACAAATTACGGTCATCTCCTTAATGTAAAATCAAATTACGAAAAATCTCATCTTGTTTGGATAATTACAACCACCTCCTTCGACTATGTATTTCTTATAAAAAGCTCCATCTTCAATTAGTAAATTTGACCACTGTAAGGATGGACGTGCAGTGCAATGCATAACTGAAAGGGGTTATTGTAATTATTTAAACATAAAGATTTTTTTTTTTCGTAATTTGATTTTACCTCAGAGTGTTTGACCGTAATTTCCCATACTTTAGAGTCCATTTAATTTGTTCTAATTAAATTGTTTAAGATCAATAACTAATGTACTAAAGAAAATAGGATTACTTTATTTGATTTAACATTATTATACTAGCAACTTTCATGAAAACAATATTTTCAATTGACAGCATAAATTCGGGGCAGCATTATTGTAGAATTTATTAGGTATAGCCCTAGTAGTGGCTATCTAGATTTAAAATGTTAGTCAAATAATACATTTCGGCTGGAGTTAAATGAAAGAAGTCTAAAAGGGTCCCATAATTTGCTTTGGGTATTTGATTACAACTTTGACAACTTATTATTAATATTCTTTAGTTAGTTTTATCTCCAATCATCTAAGTGAACAAAGTCGAGTCGAATGCACACTACTAAAATAATGGGTTATTAGGACGCCGAAAATCGTCACAACAAGCTTCTATTGTGACGCTTTATCTATTGCGACGCCTAACCAAAGCGTCACATAGGTGGCCGTGGTAATAGGTTATTGTGACGGGAAAGAAGCGTCCCAATATCTTTGCTCTCAGGACGCTTCCGCTCGTCTCTAGAATGTATTTCTTGTGACGCTGTTTGTTGTCACGTTTTCCTCTCTTTTATATCAACCATCTGCTGTTATTTTTTTTTATCTTGATTTATATTAATTTGAAAGACACAAGTATTAAAAGTATAATAATATTACAACATACCAAAAATAGTGCAATTGAACTCTTTAAATTTCATTTAGTGATACAACAAATTACATATGAGGCGTAATTCAGTAAAAAAATCTTCTATTTTACAGAAACACTATCAATCAATTCATCGTATCTCCTAAGACTTGGAACCATCTACTGCAACTTGTCAAAATACTCCACCTCCTACAAGTAAATCGAAATACCTGAAATACCTGCTCATCAATCATGTTTGAGTAATAAAAAAGTTAGTTTTGTGAGGAAATACAACATTAACAGTATCAATTATGAAATCAACACTAATAATATAAAAAAATGAATAATATGCAATTGATTAAGTGGGTTTAATAGGGAAAAATTATACTCGTGTAGTCAAGTATAAGATGAGATAAAAATTGATACTGTAAACAAGGAATTAGGATTATCCTAAATGCAAGTGAACTTCTTAAGCAAATAATTAACCTTCACAACCAATCATCTCTTGAACCGAGAACAATTGTCTTTATCATTGACAAATCAAAAGGATAAATGTTTCACAGTAGAATGCAAATAAGTAATCACTCAAAGTTTAGCTACTAATATGATTTCTAACATTTTAATTTAGAATATTTGTTAAATGGATGCTTAACCAGCTAAGCCTTCACCTCTTATCCCATCATATGACTTAAATAAGTATACAGTTCACCATCATACTATGTACTTATTATTGAAATCATGACAAGAAGAAAAAAATTAAATACAAAAAACCATACTAGTCCAACAAGAGTAACAAGATTGTAGAAAGATACCAGAGTTCTACTCAATGAAGAGCAATGGAGGATAGCCACTGGAAAGTAAGGCAGATCAAGTGTTGCTTCCACTCCTTCACCACTCCATACACTAGGGACTGCACACTACAAATATTTTAGAAATATATAGAACATATGAGTGATAAAAGTGACCAGGGCATTTGGGACCTACAAGATATGTGTTAATCCCCGAATTCTCTAACAATTACTAAATAGCTATCAAATAGTTGAAAAATCTATAAAAAAAAATACTTATATAACATTGGTTACCCAGGCTGAACACACCCTAATACTCCAACCATTACTAAAATAAATATCAAATAACACAAAAGACAGTATAAATAAAAACCAGTCAAGAATCTCTTGATTTCCATGTGTGACAAAAATCATAATCCCATAAACCAATTTCTTTCAATAGCCATCCTGTTTCCAGCTATTAAAATGAAACAGACTAATAATTAACAAAATAAAAACTATTTCTTGACAGCAAAAACAGAAATGCGATAAGCCAATTGTTGTGTATTCTCATAAAATAGAATATAATTATCCTTCTCCAAAAATAAATTTCAATTAGGTGAAATATTCGCCAGCAAATCATTTAGAAATCAAATTTACCAACTAAATCGAAAAAAAAAATCTACCTTGAGAACCGCTTAGATGAATCGCGCATGAGAACAATCATTACATGGAACCCTAGGTAAAAAATGGCGATGTATTATCTCGCCGCTGACCCTCGCTGCCACCAAGTTGCAATCAATAAATAGATCAGAAGTATAATCCGTTTCATAGAACAATAATCAAAATTTGATTAACCCACTACTCTACGAATCTGTTGTTGCCTAACAATTAAAAAAAAAAACCTTATTCGTTGACGAAATAGTTGAATCTGTCGTTGTGGAGAAAAACGAAAATTGCCTTGAAGATTGAGTAGACCACGGAATATTGAAGCCTATGGTTGCGGAGAAAAACGAAAATTGCATTGAAAATTGAATACCCTGCTTCGCTGCACGGTGAGAAAAGGGAAATGCCGAAAGGGAAGAAGGGAAGAAGAAGAACGGAAGAGATTCTAGCCCACAAAATAATTTTGTTATGTTAAAGTTAAATTATTTTAATAAATTATATAATGTTTACGCTTATATTAAGACGTCTTATAAATAGCGTCTTAATACAATCAATATGTTATGATGCTTGCCTAAAAACCGCCACAAAATGCATTTCTAAAAATAAAATAAAAACGGAAAAATAGCTATACGAACCTAGTGAAGCGCTTCTACACAAAAGCGTCTCAATAAAGTACTTATTACGACTAATTTTAAAAGCTGTCATTAAAATGCGTCATTAAAAGCTGATTTTCTAGTAGTGGCATGATTGTTTAAGCAGTGTAGTAGTCGAGGAGTTTGAATGAGTTAATCAATGAAATATGAATCGAATATGAGTAAATTAATATTTTTAACGTGTTTTTTTTCTGTAATCAATTTTACAGCACGAAACGAGTTTCACATCTTATATTGATTAGAAGTATTCTAAAGTGTAAGTATATGTTTTTTTTAACAAGCTATTGTTATTGATTAAAGTTTGGATATCCATAATATTTATATTTTTAAATTTTACATAATTCTTATAAAAGAAGAGGGAGAAATAAAAAATATAATGATGGTGATTTTGAGCTTGAGCTTGAGAAGGTATTATATTATATTGACTATGTCTGATATTTGTTGTGGTGTTTAGGGACATAGGGTCATATTCGTCTATTTACATAAGAGAAGAGAGAATGTCATACAGATTTTGTAGATACTACACTTGAAAAAATATATCAAATACTTTACACTATACATCTATCACAAATGCATACATGTATATCTATATATATTGATATTCGCATGGTATAGCTCAACTGATTACGGGAATATAAGTTGGTGCAGTGTTCTAGAATTGGGTACCGACAGTCGCAGTGTGAGAATTTCAACTCCAACGAGGTCGTTGAGTAACCATAATTTACAATCTTCCCTAAAAAAACCTGTCGAGCCACAATGAAAACCATGTGATCGAGGAATTTCATTTTTTTGGTCCAAGATTACACTCGTTAGTTTCGATTACACTATAGAGATTGTGTTATCTTTTTAAATATATAACAAACAAACTACTAAACCATATAGATAAGAGTAACAACAAACTACCAAAACATAGGGATAAGGTTATCTTCTTAAATAACAACCGTTAAAACGATTATTGCATGATACACCATTTGTCTTATTTGTTTTGATAAAATGACCCACCAACTTTTTTTATGATCCATGTGACTGCAGTTCAGATAATTCAACACTTCGGTGGTGATGGTAAGTGAAATTTAGAATGAGTGTTTATTTTTTTAATTTAAAAATTGGGATTATTATATATCCTGAAAAAAAACAATTTTAAAATATAGTTAATTTATAAGTTTTTTTAAAAAAATATAGTTAATTTATAAGTTGAAGTGTATGTCAATTTTAATTTTTCGCTTATTTTAGATAAAAAAGAGTAATGATAATACGAATTTCAAATGCAATTTTAAGCCAAAAAAAATTGTTAGTTTGGGTGCTAGT